GAAACCAACTCATTATTCTAAAAACTGGTAAATACAAGGACTCAATTATTTATCCTGCCTTTCCTGTACAAATTATACCTCAGGATAATCAAATACTGAGGAGAAATATCCCTATTTTGCAACCTCTAGTCAATCAGATAGTGTCTATCTTGATGAAGAATACACCACCTGCCAAAACTTAAGCCAGAATCCAATCAGGCCCCAAGGTCCAATTGCTAGCTTATAAGAAATACAAGGAACAAGAAAACATGCTAAATAACAACGCAGATCACAATCAGCCAAATCCAGAATGCAAGGAACTCTACAGGGCAACTGACCTAGTCCAGCAAATTAATTGCAAGGAAAGAAAAGGAGAGAGGAAGAGAGGAGAGGAAACGTTTAAAGAAACTAAAAAGGACTGCTCATGGGTACGGGGTTTCTCTAGGGATGATGAAAATGTTCTAAAATTGACTGTGGTGAGGGTTCCACAAATCTGAATGCTAAAGAACATTCAATTTTACACTTTAATGAATTGTAATAGTGTGTGAATTACAGTTTAATAAATAACTAGATATCTAGAGAGAGCGAAGACATAACAACCATAGATCCTAGTCAGATTCTGATTTAAACAATTTTTAAAAATGCATGAGGCTATTGGATTATTTAATGGCATTAAAGAATTGTGAGGGGCCCTGACCGGTTTGGCTCAGTGGATAGAGCATCAGCCTGCGGACTGAAGGGTCCCAGGTTCGATTCCGGTCAAGGGCATGTACCTTGTTTGCGGGCACATCCCCAGTTGGGGGTGTGCAGGAGGCAGCTGATCGATGTTTCTCTCTCATCAATGTTTCTAACTCTCTATCCCTCTCCCTTCCTCTCTGTAAAAAATCAATAAAATATATTTTTTTAAAAAGGAATTGTGAGGAGGTTTTAGGTGAGATAATGGCATTGAGGATTTTTATTCCTTATATTTTAATGATAGAAATTATTTACCAATGAAATTATTTCTTGGATTTGCTTCAAAATAATCTAGTTGAGGGGCTTGGGAGGCTGTACAAGAAACAAGATTGACATGGGTGTAATTGTTGAAGCTGAGTTATGGTGTAGAAGTCTAATCAGACTGTTCTCTCTACTTTTGAATAGATAAATGCATTGAGAAGCTTTTTAAAGATATACAGGTGCTTAAGCCTCACCCCCAGAGATTCTGGTCTCTACAATACTGGAGGGGATAGGCCCCATGTGCACCTCCAGACCCTTTCCTCAGAGCTTTTCCCGTGGAGACCAAATGTTTTAATCCAGCACCAGGTACTATCAGGTGACAGTGTATGGTACAGCCTTCGTCAAAGGGTTCCATTAGGGAAACCCCAACAGCCACACAGCTGAGCTTTGATAAAAAAAAAAAATGCTTCCCCTTGTCAATGCTTTAGGTGTTGTCTACCTGATACACTCACCAAAAACACTAATCCAGGCACAGAGAGAAATTGGGTAATAATCTGCAATAAATTGGGTTAGGAGCAAAAATATTAATAAAGTTAGAAGTTATTAAATAAAGCCACACATGACATGCCCACAGCTAATAGCATATTTAAAGGTAAAAAGGTTTAAAAGTTAAAAGCTTTTCTTCTAAGATCAGACACACGACAAAGGTACCCACTCTCCCCACTTTTATTCAACATAGTAGTGGCAGTCCTACCAAACAATTAGGCAAGAAAAAGAAAAGAAAAGGCATTCAAATTGGAAAGGAGGAAGTAAAACTTACTCTATTTGCAGGTGACATATTATATTTAGAAAGCCCTAAAGACTCCACACACAAAAACTGATAGAACTAATAAAAAAAATCAGTAAAGTTTCAGGATATAATATCAACATACAAAACTCAATTTTTTGGTACACTAATAACAAACTATGAGAAAGAGAAGTTCAGAAAACAATTCCTGCCTGGCTGTGGTAGCTCAGTGGATTAAGCATCATCCCCTGGACCAAAAGATTCCCAGTTCAATTCCTGGTCAGGGCATATGCCTGGGTTGCAGGTTCGATCTCCAGTAGGGGGTGTGCAAGAGGCAACCGATCAATGATTTTCTCTCTCATCATTGATGTTGTCTCTCTCTCTCTCCCTCTCCCTTCCTCTCTGAAATCAATAAAAATATATTTTTTTAAAAAAAATAAAGCAATTCCATTCACAACTGCATCAAAAAATAAAATACTTAGGGGAAAAAATTAACCAGGGAGGTGAAAGACCTGTACACTGAAAACTATAAAATATTGAAGAAAGAAATTAAAGACACAAATAAATGGAAAGATATTCCATGCCCACGGATTGGAAGAATTTATATTGTTAAAATGTCCATACCAGTCAGAGCAATCTAAAGATTCCATGCAATATCTATCAAAATTCCAAGGGCATTTTTCACAGAAATGCATAGAATAAACAATCCTAAAATTTTGTATGAAACAACAAAAGACCTCAAATAGCCAAAGCAATCTTAAGAAAGAACAAAGCCAGAGACATCCCACTTTCTGATTTCAAATTATATTACAAAGCTATAGTAATCAAAACAGTACGATATTGGCATACAAACAAACACACAAATCAATGGAACAGAATAGAGAGCCCAGAAATGAGCCCATGCATATACAGTCAATTAATTTATGACAAAGGAGCCAAGAATATATAATGGGGAAAGGATGGTCTGTCTTTCAACAAATGGTGTTGGGAAAACTAGACAGCCACAAGCAAAAGAATGAAATCCGTTCACTATTTTACATCAATCACAAAAATCAACTCACAATGTATTAAACAGCTGTGGCCAGTGTGGCTTAGTTGGTTGAGCGTCAACCCATGCACGGAGAGGTCGCAAGTACAGGAGGCAGCAAATTGATGTTTCTCTCTCTCCCTCTCCTTTCCTCTCTCTTTCTCAAATAACAAAAGCACATTGTTTTAAAAATGCATTAAATATTTTGAACATAATATTTGAAACTGCAAAGCTCCTAGAGGAAAGGATAGGGGGTAAATCCCTTGACATCAAGCAAAGGAAACGAAAGCAAAAATAAACAAGTGGAACTACATGCAACTAAAAAGCTTCTGCACAGCAAAGGAAACAATCACAAAATGAAAAGGTAACCCACTGAATGGAAGAACAAATATATCTGATGAGGGATTAATATGCAAAATAAAGAACTCACACAACTCAATAGCAAAAAAAATTTTTTTGATCTTTTTAAAAGGGCAGAAGATCTGAATAGACATCTTTCCAAAGTTGTACAAATGGCCAGTAGGTACATGAAAGATGCTCAACATCACTATTCATCAGGAAGAAGTCAACCAAAACCACATGAGGTATCACCTGTTAGAATGTCACCAAAAAGACAAGAGAGTGTTGGCATTGTTGATGGTGTAGACCAATGATGGCGAACCTTTTGAGCTCGGCGTGTCAGCATTTTGAAAAACCCTAACTTAACTCTGGTGCCGTGTCACATATAGAAATTTTTTTATATTTGTAACCATAGCAAAACAAAGACTTATATTTTTGATATTTATTTTATATATTTAAGTGCCATTTAACAAAGAAAAATCAACCAAAAAAGTGAGTTCGCGTGTCACCTCTGACACGCGTGTGATAGGTTCGCCATCATGGTGTAGACCCTGAGAAAAGATACCTGCAAGAAGGGCTCATGGTGTGGTTAACTGGGCTCAAATTTTTAAAAAAACACCAGACTAGCAGCTAAGTGAAATACGCCAGACACGGGCAATCTTTAGGGAAAAGGGGGGGTGGGGGGAAGGGACTAAAACAGAGCAGAAAAGTGGTTGCTGAGCAGTGGGGAAACGGAGAGGTGGTGAAGTGTACCGATTTTCAGTTTTCAGGTGAACAAGGTCTGCGGATCTGGTGTGACACATGGTGACTACAGTGATGACACTGTGTTGCATAACTGAAATTTGCTAAGAGGGTAGAATTGAATGCTCTCACACACACAGAATAGATAAATGTGTGAGGTGATGGATGTGTTAGTTAACTGAGTGGGAGGGTCCTTTCACAATGCAGACATACAGCAAACCCAGACAATGTATGCTTAAAATGCCTACAATTTTATGTCAATTATACCTCAGTAAGCTGAAATTAAATGAAGAAAGAGGTGATGACTGCCCCCTGGTGCATCGTCATAACAATATGGCTTTGAGACCATGAAAAGAATTAGTTCCACTCCAGCTGGCTAACGGATTTTTTCAAATCTGTTGGCAAGGTCATGAAGTCCAGCAGGATCACTTAGGTGAGGTAGTCAGAGTCCGCTCCTCCTCCTTTCACATTTCATAATAAGGTGACTATGTGGAAAGGGCTTTGAAACTGTGAGGAGCTGTGTATGCGCTGGTCAGAAGTTACTATCCCTTTGGTCCCAGGACAAAAATCCCTCTTCCCGAGCTCCCTCTGGCTTCCAGAGTCAACTCCCCCAAAAGCTGAGTGGACGAATCAGGACCTAGATCTGAAGAGGCAGAGGACAAGGGGACCCCATTATTAAAGGGGATGTGGGCCCTGGCTGGTGTCGCTCGGTGATTAGAGTGTCAGCCCGCACATGGAAGGGCCAGGCATTCGATTCCAAGTCAAGAGAATGTACCCGTGTTGTAGCTTCAACCCTGCCCTGGTTGGGGTGCCAATCAATGTGTCTCTCTCACATTGATGTTTCTCTCTCTCTCTCTCTCTCTCTCTCTCCCTCCCTCCCTCCCTCCTTCCCTCTCCCCCTTGCCCCCACCCTTCCACTATTTCTAAAAATCAATAGAAAAAATATCCTATTTATAAATAAATAAATAAAGGGGCTGCCGCCCAGGAGAGCCCCACCCCCAGCCAGAAGGGCCAGGGGCGTGCTGCCTTACCCTTTCCAATGGCCTGTCAGAGACGTAGCAAATAACTCAGATGGACTGGACTGATAGGAACTGTGGGTTCACCCTGAGGCCTCGTCCTTGCTCCCCGTGCCCTCCTCCTGGACCTGCCACCGTGCTGGGTGTGGTGCCACCTGCTCTGTCTGCCTCACAGGGAGTCGGAGCGCGTGGCGGACCTGGCCTTCCTGGGCACCCGGGCCGGCCTCCTCAGAAGCAGCTTGTTCGTGGGCTCGGAGAAGGTCTCCAACAAGTGAGTGTGCCGGGGCGGGAGTGGGGTCCCTGTAGGGCGCTCCCGAGCGTGTGCTGGCAGGGCATGTGCGAACCCCTGAAGTGCGAAGAGGGTGGAAGGTTAGGGCTTACGGAGTGGGAGGTCAGAAAAGTAACCCTTCCCCCCAGGCTCGGACTCATCCTGGAGGTGCCCCCGGAGAGGAGGGAGGGCAGCCCAGGGGGCAAGAGAGCCCCCGAGACTGTGAAGTCGGGAGGCTTAGCCAGAGGTTCACTTCCTCAGAAGGAAACCCAGAAATTGTTTCCCCCCTGGGGCAGGTCTCCGTGTGACAAGCTAACTCTTCTGGCTGCGTCCCCTCCTTTCTTGACACTTTCCCATCCCCTAAGCCAGCAAGTCTCAACTGCAGGCAATTTGCACCCGCCTGACCCCAGGGCCGTTGGGTAATGTCTAGAGACGTTTGGGTTGCAGTAGCTGGAGGGGTGTTGTCACTGGCATCTAGTGGTGGAGGCCAGCGATACTGCTAACCCTCCTGCCGAGCGCAGGGCAGCCCCTGGCAGCCTGTCAGTCGTGCTGAGGCTGGGAAGCCCTGCTCCAAGCAAAGCCCAGCTTTGCTGCCCAGGGACCAGCCAGCCCACTGTCCTCCCTGCCGCGTGCTGCAAAGGGGGAGCGGGAGCCCAGGGAGGGGTCTGGAAGGGAGGGGGCTGAGCAGAGCCACCTGAGCTCTGCAAACCACCAGGCTCAAGTAGGTAGGGGGGCCACCGGGCATCTGGAGGAGAAGAACCCAGGGGCTCCTGAGCAGACTTGACCCCATCCTCACCTCCCACCCACTGGCCGTTCCTCTTGCTAAATCCAAGCGCACTCAGCTATGGCGCGCCATCTTGAGCCTCCTCCCGGACTGTGTCAGGGCCATGCTTGCTGGAAAGCTGAGGCTTTCTAGGAAAACAAATGAAGTTGCTCTCCCCTCTCCCCACCTCCCCTTACTCCCTCAGAAGTGGAAACAGAGGGAAGCATGCTGCCTTCTACCCTTTCCCATGGCTGTCAGAGACGTAGCAGATAACTCAGATGAAGGACTGATAGGTAAACTGTGGGTTCACTCTGAGGCCTCAAACAGCGTGGGAAACTTCCCTCCCCAAGCTTACTACCCTCTCATACTTCCTCATCCCTTAAACTTCACCCCAATCGAAAATCACACAGGTCTTTGGCCAAGGTTGGACAAGTGAACCCTGTCCTACGGTGTGAAGGGAGAAAGCATCCTGGCACTCCCTGCGCCTCCCTCTACGTCTCCCGGGAACGGCAGGGGGAGACCTCACACAGAGAGGCCTTCCTGAGTGATGAGCCAGCCACCATGACTGGCCTCACATGCACTGCACAACCCCAGGGGCTCCCCGCACCCAAGCCGGGATGTGACTGGCAGCTAGGAATTGGGCAACAAGGCAGGTCTGCTTCTGGGACATGTGAGCCAGGCAGCCCTAAGGTCCACCTCAGCTCTCCACCTCACGGGTTAGCCACAGTGACGTTTCTACACCCCACCGCTTCTCCCTGCCTCCCACTCTGCTTTGGACCAATGCTCCCTTCTGCTGGCTGGTGTGTGCTCAGGGAATGCTAAGCCATAATTAGCAAGATAAAGCTGCTCGAAAAGAGAAACCTCATAATGCATTCTAAAGCCTAGAGGCAAGAGCTTTGGAAGTAACCATTTTGGGGGAATTTATGCTCCTGTATTAGCTCAGCGATGAGGTGACTATACAATTTCCATTCAGAAACGCTAATTAGTCAGACAAAAAGAAATTAGACTATATCCAAAAGAAATAAACCCTGCAGGCAAAGCAGTTAAAATAAAAATGGAAAGTATTCTTTCAAAATGCAGGCGTCATACCTCTTCTAGCTCCTAATGTGCCATCAGATACAACACATTTGACTCTGGAAGAGGCAAGAATTGCTGGAGACATCGTCTGGGACGCCACCAATTAGCTCGTATTTTCTACCATGAAAACAGAGGGGAGTTGCTCTCTTGGCCCAGCCAAGATAACTGTGTGTGAAAGGAAAGGGATAAACATGTTCCCAGGTATGAAGGGAGGAACCAAATCTCTCTCCTTGCAGGAAGTTCCTGACCCCTGAGGACAAGGCCAGCGTGTTCACCATGGACCACTTCCCCCTGTGGTACCGCCAGGCCGCTGAGCAGCCTGCTGGCAGCTTTGTCTTCAATCTCCGTACCCCAGAGGGGCCAGGTAATCCACACCCCATGCTCCCGGGCCGGGCGGGACCAGGGCATCCCTCTCCCTCCTGTGATATAAAGCAGAATGCCCAGACTACCGGGTTCCTTCCTGTTTTCCTCCTGGTGCACAGTAGCGACTTGAGGAAGCTCGCTGGGCCTTGCCACACAGCTGGTCCCTGCACCGTGTATAGGACGGGTCATCGCCTTCTCTGACCAGCAGTCAAAGATGGCGGTTAAAAATCTAGCATGGAACAGAGGAAAGAAATTTGACCAAAAATCTAGAGGAGATGAATTTTAGCCCAAATTCCAAATAGAAGGGTATTGGATGAGTTTCTCTCTAAGATTCTTCTGTTTTTCTAAACATCTGAGTATCTTTGAAAATTCCTTAAACCTCCAGGTGAGAGTAGCACTTTACTTGCTGACGCCACTGCCCCCCAAGGCTCTTCCCAAACAGGGAAAGCAGCCTGGGCTCCACTCCCTGGGGTCTCCCATGGCAGCAACACTGAGCTCCTGGCCTGCTCCTCAGAAACACCCCATAAAAGGGGGCGCCTCTCCCTGGCAGGCCACTGCGGGCTTGAAGGGTCGGAGTCAGGGCAGCCAAGGTTGGGCCCCATGGACCAAGCCAGCAACCCCCACTAGTCCAAGGACCAGGAAGGAGCTCAGAGCTGCAGGCACCCAACTCCACCCAGCCCCCACTCTGAAAAATGGCTGCAAAAGGAAAAATGAAGTGACTTTAACAGAGCACCAAGAAAATAGTAGAAAGTTTCAACAGAAAGGGACCTTGGAAGGCGCACAGCCTCACACTCTTGGTTTCCACGTGAAGAGACTGTGGCCTACAGCGGCAGAAGGACTGGTCCAGGGCTCCAAGAGTGTGGGCAGAGCTAGCGCTCCACTGGGTCACCTCTGGGGCAGCCTAAGCCCAGTGGTGGAGCAAGAGGGCCTAGAAAGATCCACCTTCCCTACCCCCTCGCCGCCCCCCCCCTCGGGCCAGAGTGAGCCCATGAGGAGGGGGAACAGAAGGAGGAAGAGGGCGGAGGATGGAGACATCTGAAAGGAAGGGGCGGGCTGGGAGTCAGTTGGAATGAAGAGTTGCATTTCCGCTTCAAGATGTCCCCCACCAAACCCTTCCAGCCACCACTTCCATTTCTGGTGGAGAAATGCTGAGGAGGCCCAGGTGCCCTCGGGCTTCCCTGGGTCTGTGCCCTCTGGATGGCATCTTCACCTTGTGCTTAAGCCAACCCTCCATCCTATGCCTGTTCCTCCCACCTGATGCATCACTACTGTGCTTTACAAACTGCTTCTCCGCATGGAACACTCTTATCTGTACAGCCCTCTACGGTGAATGCTGTTAGCTCCTCCTGCCCAGCCCCGCCCCTCCCCCCCCCCCCCCCCACACACACACACCCCTCCGCTCACACAGGGAGAAGCTGAGGCTCAGAAAGGTTCTGTGTCTTGCCCGGGAACACACAGCGAGGGAGCCACAGAGGCATCCTAAAACCAAGGTCTGCCCCCGAATTCAGGGGCCTCGCACTGAGTGGAAAGCAGGAAGGGGAGCGTCAGGGAGTGCGGTCACTCCTGGTGAAAGCTCAGAGGGAGGTGCTCAAAGCCAAGGTGAAGTCCCTTCTCACACTGTCCACTCAGAGCCGGAGCGAGCAGCTCTTCCTCTCTGGCACCAGCTGCAGCAGCACCGAGGGCTCCCAAGGAGGGGCTCCCACCGAGGAGGTTCTCTGGCCCCTGCCCCCAGCCCAGGAGGATGCTCCCTCCTGCCCGCATTGTCACTGGGACTTGCCTGCTGGTTGCTGGGGAGCTTTTTGTGGCGGTGAGGTAGGAGGTGGGTGGGTGGGAACTGAGCTGAAAGAAGAGGGGGAAGCTGGCAACCCAAAAAGAGGGAAGGCTGAGTCGGGAGGCAGGAACTCACTCCTTTTTCACACCCTCGCTCATGCATATGCTTAGAGACACATAGACACCTCTGCACACTCCCATTCTCCCCGAAGACAACAACAACAAATTTATTTTAAGGGGAAGGGGGAGTCTCAAGGAGGCAAAGGAGGCAGCTGCGGTGAGTGGAGGCTTCCCTCTGCCTCTCTGGGCTGACTCCGTTGCCTTTGGCCTGGGCCTAGGGGGCTGAGCTCTGCCCACAGCTCTGTCTTTTGTCAGCGCCCGCCAGCACAGAGCAGTCTCCCCGGTGCCCCGGCAGCTCTGGCCCGTTACTGGTCCTTCCACAGCCCACCTCTTCCTGGGCCAGCCCCGGGCCTGGCCCCCCTGCTCAGTCACCCCAGGTGCTCAGTGACCCAGGAGCTGAAATTCCTGATGTCCCCAACGACTGTGTTATGAGGGCCCCCACACCTTCACGTGGGTGTTTCCCACAAGCCTATGGAGCACACGTACAGTAGAAGGTCTGTCTGGGAAGCAGCCTGCGGGCCCGGAGAAACTGTAGGGGGTCAGCCACAACAGCGTCTTCCAGACATTCCTAGAAGCAAGGTGAGGAAGCCAACTTCTCTGTGGTCCCTGTGGCTTTATCATGGCAAATCCCTACAAACAAGGACAACCTCACCTATTGTAAGTTCCTAGAATCTGAGTAATTTTACATTTCTGTGGGTTATTTGATTACAGCAAGGTGGGATGGGTAATCTTAGCAAAATAGCAGGTGAGACAACCCAGTGTTCACTTAAGTACCATTTCAACTGTAATAACAATCACCACACAACAAGGTCCTCATGGCCCGTTTGTTTCAACATGTCTTACAATGACGTTCTAATTAGAGAGCACGTGGTAAAATTTCCCCTCTCTTGGGATGTTTAATAATGGAACTTGACCCATAGATAAGAGCACTTTTGAAAGCTAAGCCAGGTCCATGGACAGATGAAAAATAAGAAGCCCAAGGTCATGCCTGCACCAGCTCAGAGCCAGACAGCTCTGTTCTAATGGAGAGCTGAAGCTGCCACCTGCATTCTGCACCTCTGGGGGCCTGGTTCGTAAAAGAGGTGGGAGAGCAACTGAAGGAAAGCCCTTGCCCTGCAGGAGCCTGGCAGAGTCCTAGAAGTGCAGTGACCGGCCGCACAGCCAGTGAAGGGCATGGCTGATGATGGTGTGGTGGTGGGCGGCCACCACGGCCAGGATTTATGGAGTGCCTCAGACCTCAGCCTCAGCCAGCCTTCTGTGCCCAATGCAGCCCTGGTGTCTGGCTTCCTGGAAGGGCTGTCAAGGTCACTCTGACTCGTGTGACGGATGAAGGACAATTCAGGATCTGCAACCACCGAGTCCTGGAATGCAGCCTTCCTTCTGCTAGAAAGAGTCATTTGATGCAACACAACTCTTCTGGGTGGAACGCGTGTCAAGAGGACGGTTGCAACAGGCTCCCTGAGTTCAAATGAGACTGCTCCTTAGTGACGTTGACAGCACTGCATTGTCCCGGCGGCCAGGCCCACACGTATTACCTGGCAGGTTCAGGTCTGCACAGAAAGGGGGCAGCGCCTGGGCCTCAGGAGGCACTCTGCCCTGACCAGTGGTTGGTGGTAACAGCCTTCACAGCAACAGCTTTCTCAAATCCCCCTCAGCTTTTCAAGGAATGTCCTCACCTGCTATTTATACTTGTCTTCTTGGACTCCCCCAACCCCTGCTCTTCCCCAGCTGCTGAGAAAGTGACTTGCCATTTTTGTTTCCCCAGAAGGTCCGGGTGAGCCTGGAGTCGTGACAGTGAGCACAGCTGTAGCCGTGACAGTGGACGAGAAGACAGCCATTGCTGCAGGTAGGCGCTGCCCTTTGTGCCGCCGAGGCCGGGACGGTGTGAGTTGATGTCACGAATAAGGCACACGGTAATAGCAGGAGGACCCCTGCCTATGCAGGGCCACAGTCCTCGGCTGCGAGTTTCCCCGGTGACATGTGGAACTGAGGGTGGTGGAGTCTTCCCAGGCCATTTTATTTATCAAACAGTACCACCTTGAATCTTAAAGAATTTATGAAGTGAGTAAAATGAAGCCCAGAGAGGTTAAGAGATCTGCTGAAGGTCACACAGGACGAGGCGGCAACCCAGACCGGCTTCCCACCCCTCGGCATGCTGCTTCCCTCTTCCACCACCGCGGGTCTAGTGTCCCTCTGAAGAGAAACGGGGCTGTGACTCAAATCCTAAAGTAAGAGCTCGCTGTGTGCTCGGCCTGTGCCCAGCCCCAGGGAATCTGCTTCCCATGAGCACTCCCGTTCAGCCCTCAGGGTATCCAGTGAAACCAGGACTTTGGGCTCCATTTTACAGATCAGGAAACTGAGACACAGAAAAGTTATTTGCCCAAAGTCTCACAGCGAATAAATAATGAAGCTAGAATTTGAACTCAGATCACCTCTCTTTAAGGCCCAGGTTCACTATCCTGTGTTGCAATTTGCCTCAAATGTGATGAATGGCTCTCCCGAGCGCCCTTGACTTCGCAGTTTCTTAGTGCCTAAAAAAGCCCCGGGCGCCTGTCTCGTTATCCGACAACCACCATGTCCTGGAACGCAGCCTGTGTTCAGCTTCCACGTCTCAACTTCAGCTGAGTTCTGAAAAGTTGCACGATCAGTGGCCACTCGAGCATCAGCCATCATGCCTCCTTGAATCAGGCACCTGTCCTGCTTCCCTGGGGACCCCTTAGCCACGAGGAAGCACTCAGCGGCTGCAGTGGGTGAGGCAGCAGGACCTGTGCCCCTTCTCCCCTCAGGCTGAATTCAGGGCAAAGGGGATGGAGGAGTAGGCTGGGGTCAGGCAGAGAAGGTCCAACCCTGTCTTCCTGGCTAAGGAGGGCACAGGTCAGGCTCCTGGCTGCTTTCCACCCTGGGACAAGGGGTGGGGGAGAGTGACTTGGCCTGATGTAGTTCAGCACCCACGTTAGGAACACTTGCATATGGACCATCTTTAGGATGCGCCAGCCCAGGGTTTGAAAGGCACCAGGCTGTCTCAGGCACCTCTTTTTTCTTAGTCCAAAGCTAATTCGAAATCCATTTCTAGGCCAAATTTTTACCCCAAACTTGTCTCCCTAAAGCAGTGGTTCTCAACCTTCTGGCCCTTTAAATACATGTTGTGACCCAACCATAAAATTATTTTCGTTTATGCTTCTTCATAACTGTAATGTTGCTACTGTTATGAATCGTAATGTAAATATCTGATATGCAGGATGGTCTTAGGCGACCCCTGTGAAAGGGTCGTTCGACTGCCAAAGGGGTCGCGACCCACAGGTTGAGAACCGCTGCCCTAAAGACTCCTTCTGTGGTCCCAGTTGAGTCTGTGCCTGTCCTGCTCTCTCCATATCCTGGGCCTTCTCCGCTCCTGCACCTGGGAGCCGAGGAAAGAGAAGGGACACAGGGTCAGGCTGCTGGCTGGGCTCTCCTGCACTCTCCAATTATTTGAAATCATTTTTAACACAGAGCTGATTTGGAGCTGCGAGGGGTTGTCATAGAAACTGTGTCCTGGTGCCTCTGGCTTAACACACTGCAGGCAGTCGCTCTGACGCTCTGGGTGCCTAGATGTGACAGGAAAAGGATGAGGCTCTGGAGACCTTCAATTATCTGGGGCTCTTCTCTTTTAATTTCCTCTCTCTGGCCTATGGCTCCGCCTCCCTGATCCTGGGCCAGTGGGGGCCTCTAGCTCCAGGCAGGGTAGGCAGCTTGTTTGCTGACCTGGCAGTTTCATCCGTTGGAGACTGGTGGCAGTGTGTGATGTGAGCTCCAGGAAGGATGAGCATGTGTGGTCTGTGCCCTGGGAGAAGGGCACTCAGACCAGCCAAAGAGGCCAGCCCCGCGCCAGGCAAAGGTGTGTCTAATGCCACAGGTTCGTACAGAGGGCAGATGAATGAGGAGGGATTCTTTTCATCTCTAAGCAGGTGATTTAGCAACAGTTGTTGCAAAATTTCTATAAACCCAACTTTTTAGTCAGGATCTATTTTCAATTCTCCAAGCCCTAGTTAGGGAATATTGACAAACATAATGCCGGTGGGCACCATACTCTGCAAGTGTGTTTGTCTACCACACGTTCTGCAATACACACGTGCCCCTGACAGCCTGTGTGCTGGGCCTGCTGCCTGGAACTGCACGAGGCTCCTCTCCTTAGGGTTCTGCCCACAGGTGAGTGGGCCTAACCAAAGACCTGTGCGCACTCAGGATGGGACTTGGATAATGCATCTACGTGTTGCCCAGACTTGCGCCACACTTGTGAGGGGCCCTGTCCTCACTGCTGCTGTGGGGCCCAGGGCTGCTACAAGCATTATGGCTCCAGGAAGGAGGGAAACACCCCACAGTTATCACCACCTGGAAAGGGGAACAGCCCGGTTCTACCAGGAGTCCTGCTGAGCTCCAAAAATGGGGTCCTTGATGGTTCGCTTCTCCCTGGGGTTTGCTCCTGGCTCACTGGAGTAGCATCCAAAGGAAGGCTGGGAAGGAGAACATTCCATCTTGGTCTCTGAAGACTGATGAACCACACAGTCCAAGCCCATTCAGCCAGAGGCCAGTCCAGGACTAGAGGAGGGTCACTCGGGCTTGGGATGGACGAGCAACCCCAGAGGACTCGCTCTCTCCCTCATCTCCTCTCCTGGTCCCCCCATCCCAGCCCCCCAGCCCATAATCCTGATTCCCTGCCTGCTGAGCCCTGTGGAGAGATCATATTTGTAAGCCCAGAGTATCATCTGCCTGCCCCTGAAGTCAGTCTTGAAAGTGCAAGATGGTATTAGGTGAAACGGGCTCCTCCTTCATGTCAGCAAACCTCACCAACTCACTGAAGCTGATAAAACCCAATCAGCAAGAAGTCCTCTAACTGCTCTTAGGGAGCCCCTCACCTTCCATTACACAGTGGGGTCCTCTGGGCAGATGTATGCCTTCCTGCCACACGGGCCCATCTGCCCTGGACTCTCAGGGTGAGTTCACTCACGCCAGGGTAGATGAGCACCCACCGGGCACGGAGAAGTGATGGGTCTCACTCCTTAAGCCACGCTGCTGCCCCGTGAAATCAGCCTGAGGCTCATGCACCCTCCTGTCAGGCCAGCACATGGCTGAGCTTGCTGCACTTGGCCCCCACTCCTCCCGGTGCACCACAAGGCGAGGCCATGGGAGGCTCCCACTGTCTGACAGCGCTCTGGACATCAGGGTGACATCTGGCAGCACTTTGTGCAGCTGCTTGGGGGTGGGGGGCAAGAAGCCACTCTCCCAGCACTCACATCCCCTCCCCACCCAAAGAAACCAGGAAGTACATAGGAAAATACAGTCTTTATTGGTCTTCTGAAACAACAAACCAGAAATATAATTTTGCCTTTAAAAATCTTCTGTCTCAAGGTGAAGATACCACTATTGACAATGTCCACCCCTCCCCCATTCCCTTTAGGAAATCCCCACATCTGGTTTCAGCTGGCAAACCAAAAGAAGGAAGACTGTGCCCCACACGGGGGAGGGCATTTAGCAGCCTTGCTGGGGCGCCCTCGGCACCCCTGAGCTGGAGAATGGCCTTTCCAAAGGCAAGTTTGCCTCTCCCCCAAGCCCTCTCCCCCACTATGCTCTTCTATGAGATACAAGGGTTGAGGGGTGCAAGCTGAGCTGGGCCTGCCCTGTCCTTCCTCAAACCCCAGCCTCGTGTTCTGGCAACCTCTTCCTGGGCCACCACTGAGCGACCTGAACCCTACCCAGCCCTCTTCTCTGCCATTCCCACAACTCTGCAAGCAGGTGTCCCTGCCCCTTTGGTGTAGGTTCAAGCAAGGAACCAACAGGAGTCCTGGCCCTTGCTCTGGTTTGGAGCCCAGTCCAGGTGCAATGGAGAACTCTGGGGAGCCAGACTGAGCAGACCAACCCGTGGGAGAGGGAGCCCCATCACGGGAGCCTCTGAGCAGAGTGCGGCAGTCTCTGTGTGGGAGATGTGAGCAGGCAGCGAGCTTCAGGAGGCCACCTGCTTTCCCAAGATGTCACCAGGCACAGAGCATGGCCCAGTCCCCACCCGAGGTCACGGGCCCAGAAGTGCTGAAGAAGGAGGGGAGGGGTGCAGAGCAATGGTTCTCCGGCTGCGGGCTGCGGGCTGCAGGAGGGGAATCGGTGGGTGTGCCCACGGGGCTGGCAGTGATGACGCACTTTGGCCCCCTGGGCTCTCAGGAGGCTGCCATCCACAGGCGCGGCAGCCTCAAGGCCTCTGGGCTGCTTCCCTGGAAAACCCAGCAGGACAGGTGAGAGGGTTACCATGGTGACGGGCAGGCTCATCCACTTGGCCCACTTTAGAGGATCTCAAAGGCATCCTGTGCTGTCAGTTTGGGTTTCTCTCCTTGTTGACTTGAGAAGATGGCGATAAGCAAGCGGCAGTTTCAGTGCTGAGGGCTAGACACCCAAGGGGAAGCACGCTCTGCTCCCCGAGTTCTCCTGACTCTGCCTCCATGTGACTGTGTGTGCACGTGTGTGGGATTTTTTCAGTTGATGTGATTTCGCTGGTGATGCTATGAGTTAGTCTGAGAGTAAATTAGTGACTCCAGGAGCAACGCGGTCGGCATGGTCTCTAGCAGATACAGGGGCATAATGGCTTCGGCCGAGGGAGTGTGTTGCAATCACAGCGCGGTGTTTCTAAGTGCTAGATCCCGATGACAGGGCTGCTGGGCTTGCACGTTAGTACCAGCTTCTGAAAGCTGGACCCAACTTTCACACTGAAGGGTGGTTAAGAATATCTTCCTGACTTAAAAGAGAGTCACAGAAATGAACCCCTTGCCCTCACATTACTTCCTCCCCAGCCCCTAATGCAGATGAGAGAGGTTGAGCAAGAGGTAGGGAGAGTCACCTAGCTGTGGACTACACCCAGCGCAGGAAGGGCAACGGGAGTGCTCAGTCCAGAAGCCCCACTTGCACACATAACCCATCTTCTCTACGACCAGAGGCTCAGAAAGATCCAAAGATTTGGTGGCCCCGGGAGGAGCATCAGCTGGAGCCTTCATATAATGGCAGCTTCCCCAGAGACTGGAAGTCCCCGCTGTGGCTGGTTTGCTGGAGGGCTGGGCTGGGACCGGGGAAGGAGTGGAGCTGGGGACTGTGGCAGAAAGAAGGGCCAGCTCTTCCAGAAGCGTCTCCACGCGCTCTCCTTGCCCTTCCTACCTGAGCCAGGTAGGGCCGGGCTGTCATGCCACAGAGGAGATCTGCTTCTGGTCTTCATGCTCACCCTCCGGGTCCCCCATGAGCGGTTGGCGCTTCTTGAGCTCCCGGTGGTATTTAGCCATGAGGGAGGCATAGATGCAGCCGTAGGCAGCAGCCACCACCATCATGATGCAGACGATGCCACAGACCACCCCGGCGATGATCACGGTGCCGATGGCCCGGCGCACGCTCACAGGCCGGTACCTCTGCTTCTGGGGGCAGGCTGTACTGGACTCCGGCTCGGGCTCAGCTCCTGGCTTGGGCTTGGCAGGTTCTGGGCTGGCCTTGGTGCAGGGTGGCCCAGGACTATCCAGCCCGGCCGAGCTATTCTCGCCCTCCAACTGGGAGCAGTAGTTGAACATCTCCATGGGGACCATGCGCATGTCCTTTCCTCTCAGCTCCTTGGGTAGGGTGCAGGCAAGTTGGTCCAGGCGTCCCCCTGCATTGGGTGAGAAAAAAGGAGGAGCTGACCAGGCATCCAGATGCTGGACTCCCTCTCCCCATCCCCAGGTCCCAGAAACGGAAGGCCCAGAAGTTCTAGTTTCTATGAGCAATGTGGTCAGTCCTGGGATCATGTGGATAGGAGAGGAAGGGAAGAGAAAACTAGCATCTATTGAGTCAAGTACCGTGGTGGGTGAGGCACATATATCGCATCATTTGATCCAGGCAGAAGCCATGTAAAATGGGTATTGTCATGATTCCCGTTTTATGGAGAAGCACACAGCCATTTCAGTCATCTTACTTGCTCCAGAGTCCATCTGACCCACCAGGCAAGACAATGCTGATAGGTGGGGTGCTCAGGAAGGAGCTGTCAGTGCAAAGAGAGGGCCATGAGCCCTGCCAGACTGCAGTTCCACTCCCCTCCCTGAACCTGCCTGCCTCCCACCTGCTGTGAGCCCAGGGCGCTGTGCTCAACATGACATCCTCTCTCTCCGGGCCTCTTTCCTCACAAAAAGGACAAAAGCCAAAAGTCACTGCCAAAGCCGCCACTCTTCCATGCAGGACCTTTTGGTTGCCTAGGAGTACCTCCTTGGAGTACAGAGAAAAAGGGGTTGGGCGAGAATGTTTCTCTTTTCCCCTTTAGAGCAATCTAATGGCCCATCAGCACCCCAACCTCAGCATCTCTGGGTGCAGAGGCATCTTGGGAGGAAATCCTGAAGACCTATGAGAGCAAAGGTGCTAATGGGGCGAGGGGGGGTGGGGGGAGTGGGGAGGCAGTGATGGGTGCACAGGTTCACCATGCCAATGGTGAAGCTGCTCCACCATGGGGAGATGGAGAAGCAGAACACAGAGAGGGCGAGAGAGAGGGCAGCTAAGGAGAACGAGTTGCCCGGATATGCCCTGGGAGCCAGAGTCAGATCCAGTGAAATCTAGATGCAGGCAACAGTGCCTGTGCAAGGACTTGGCTGCTGCCACCCGCCACTGCCAGCTCCCTCTCCCAGCCCAGCTGCTGTGCACAATAGGCATCAATCTTTCCCCAGGAAGCTGATGAAAACAACCCAGGATTTTTTTTTGAAGGAGTGCAACGTTGACAACTCTACTATTGAAAATTTCTGAAAATATACGTTCCCATTCCTTGCCCGTTTGTGCTGAGAGTTTAGTTCCTGATGACTGTGTGAAAGGGCAAGAATGTTCCCTAGGGACAGCACATTGGTCTGGGTCTGAAGACACTTGGCCTCTAGTCCCCACCCCCATCCCCGATGCTGACTGCCTGGGTGGCCTTAGCAAGCCTTCCATCCAGTGAATGTGTCCAGGGCAGCCTTTCTACAGGCAGGAGCTGGGTGCTGACAGGGGGCAACCTCATCTTCCTGCTCCAAAGACCTGAGGGCGAATCCAGCCTGTCATCTTGTACAATATAATGTATTTAATTGCTTATGAGTCTTACCTTTCTTGGCTATAAAATAAGGCCATCTCAATTAGATATGAGGATTAAAATAGATAATTACATGAAATGATGCTTGTAAACTAGGTACTATGCAAGGATTATTTCCCCAATCACAAAAACGGGGACTATTATCATAGTGACTAACATGCTATGGCACTTTACAACATGTAAAATGTTTTTAATAATTAGCACATGAGAATGTCGTGCAAATAATTGAGATTGTGGCTGCGTATGAAATGAAGGAGTGAGACTTTGATGAAAAATGTTAGCATTCCTTTCACAAAGATTTTTTATATTGATTCATTCATGCAGCAAATATTCATTGAGCTTCTACTTTATGCTAGGCACCAAATTGTATCTTATTAAGTCCATTTAATATAATGACTACTTCTAGCAAATGAACAAATACATACGTTTTATTGAGGACTTACTTTGTTTTTCAGACACTTTACATGTATTACCTATTTAATCCTCACAACAATTCTATGAGATAGACATGTTATTCACCCCCCATTTTACAGATGAGTGCACTGACACAGAAATTAATCAAATTTCTCAAGATCATACAGCTTGTAAGTGGCAGAGCCACAAATCAAACCCAGATCTGGCACTTTTAGCCACTGTGCTTAATTCTTTGCCCTCCTATCCCATTCCATTTCATCATTTCATAGGTCGTTATAGAACTTAATCAGTTAATGAAAGGGGGAAGGGAAAGAAAGTAAAACCGTTTGGCTTCTTATTAAAGCTTTGATAACAAAAGTTCTTGGAAGAGAGAGTTGAGATCATCATCAAAACAAAAATTTGGTTTTATCTGTGGATTTACATTACATTCCACCATCCAGAAACGATGGATATTTAAGAGGTTGCTGTATTCAGAAAAGCAAGGGTGGTTTTCTTTCTCCTTCTACCATATTAGGGAATCCCAGAGCCATACCTAGTGGGATGCAGAGAAAAAGTATACTGTGCCTTTAAGTTCCCTCATGAAACTATGAAAGTAAGATCAAGTTACCATGAGTCAATCTAAAAGAAAAAGAGAAGAGAAAGGCAAGGAGTGGGGGGGGGCACAGAGAAGAAGGGGGGCAGTGGGGGAGGAGGGAGAGCAGCACCCCAGCCTCCCTGCCCTGCTGATCTTTTGGAGCTGTGGCGGCTAGGACTTTAAGTGTGGCTGGTGAAGGGGCGGGGCCACCCCTTCTCCCCTGACCTTAGCCCAGCCTCCAGGAAATGCGTTGGATCAGGGGTGACCCTCCCAATTCCTCACACCCAGGCAGGGCTGGCTGTGCTCACCTCGGTAAGAGAACCACTCCATCCAGTGCTTGAAATCACGCAAGTTACAGTCACACTCCCAGGGGTTGTCCCCAACCTGCAAAAGCTGCAGACTTGCTAGGGGTTCAAATGTCAGCCGATCCAGGTTCTGCAGGCGGTTGGAGCGCAGCGATAGGGAGCGCAGAGCAGGGAGTCCGTCAAAAAGGCCAGGGGGCAGCTGGGCCAGGCCGTTGATGGACAGGTCTAGGTGGCGGAGCAGGGGTGAGTGCTGCAGCAGGTCCCTGTCCAGGGTCCTGATGCTGTTATTGCGCAGCTGCAGCTCGGTCAGATTGGTCAGGTCCTCGAAAATGGAGCGGGGCAGCTGGTCCAGGAAGTTGTTGGATAGGTCCAACCGCTGCAGACTGGACAGATTGGCGAATGCCCAGCTTGGTAGGGCACTCAGCTTATTGTTCAAGAGCAAGAGAGTTCGGGTGGCAGCAGGCACGTCTGGGGGCACCACGGTGAGGCCTAGGCCACTGCAATCCACCTCCAGGCTGCGGGTGTCACACTTACAGGAGAAAGGGCAGGTGGGGAGGGCCTCCACAGCACACAGGGCGATCCAGCAGGTGATCCCTGGTGGGGAAGCAGGGAGGTGGGCGGACAGGGAGAAAGAAAGTGTCAGGTGGGAGTTACTTCCTCCTGCCTCTGTTCCCTCCTTACTAGTTCATACCACAATGGCCCAAGCCACAATCAATGGACAAACACTTACTGGCCACATAAAAAGATAATTTAAAAATCCCCAGTACTTCCATGTTAATGGACTTCGCATGGTGTCAGCAGGGCTCCTTGCCCATAGCACATCTGGCCAAAGAATCCCTGCCATGCAGTATGACCCTGCAGAATGACAGGCCTGAGTCCAGAGAACAAGCAACGCTGGTCCACAAAGATGCCTCAGCTCATGTGGCCTCCCCGGCTGATCTCCTGGGAGCTGGGGCCCACTGACATCACAGATGTTGACAAAGTGAAGAACATAAGGATGCTTGAGAAACCTGCCCCCAGGTTCCTCTCCCAGAGTCACTGCCAGGAGAACGTTCTCTTTCCAAAAGAAAATGGCCACGCTGCTGCTTCCTTCCCCCTCCGCACCGCACCCCCAACCTGTACCTGCACTAGGCTGAGACATGCCACACAGAAGGGAGGGCACAAGGGGTGCTCCAAGCCTGCCCCTAAAACCTCCCAGTGTGTCAGATCTGCATGAGTCCACATCCAAGACAGGGCCCACAACTTAGCGTGAGAACCAGCCAGGAGTCCAGCACACCCAGGGTCCACTCCAGAGACGGCTGTGCAAATGACGAGGATACAATGTGCAGTTCCACTTCACACTGAAGAGTACATGTGCCCAAGCCACTCAAGGTCATGGGGCCTAGGACAAGCTCCATATTTATTCTCGTTCTAAAGGCACCCGTGCCCAGAGCCTGAACTCCTGTCCTTAAGGGTTGCAGGGCAGCATTTCTGCAGAAAGGATCCATTAACATAATTCCTTTCATGGTCCCATGTTTTGCCCAGGACCCCTCTGAGTAGCAAGCACAGAGCCCGGCCTATGGAAGGGCTGGGGGGTCTCAGAGAACAATCACAACTGGGTAGGTCATTCCATTGTCCAGCAATCCTTTCTAAGAGTGACTGAAAAAACCCTTAACTGTCATCCTGAATAGTCAGAGAAGTCTGCTCATTATAAAAGGGAAAAGGGATGAGCTCAAACTAGCTCAACCAAACTAAGGCAGCCCCAAGAAGCCCAGAGGAAAGGCCCAGCTGGAGAAGCACTGGAGATGCCCAGGCCCAGGCCATGGCCCAGTTGGCCCCACCTGGAGAAGCAGCAGCCTCCCTGACCAGCGTGCCTGCATGGGATGGTCTTGAGTCTGTGTCTGGTTGTCTGGTTTTCCAAAGGGCAGACGTGGAAGGAACAGGATGGGGCTGTATCCCTCCCCTGCCTGGGGGATCAATGACAGCTGAGAGACACACTGCAAGGCTGACACCTGAGCCTCTTTGTTCCCGAGGGGAAGTGAGCACAGGCATGGCCATGGAAGCCAACTGGAGACCCTTCCTGGCCACATGGGGGCCCCTGCTGCTACCTCTCACCTTGTCACCCCTCTGAGCCCATCAGCCCCCACACACACTGCCCCACCATGCCATGTAAAAATCTCCTTCCTCAGGCTTCACTTTCCCAACCCATTCAGCTTCCCTCTCAAAAGGTTCCACATACTCAGCAGCCACTGTTTCCCCACCCCCAAGAAATTCAGAGTGGCATGAACGTCCTGGTGACAAGAAAATGGGATCCTGTATTGCGAGGTGTTGAGTGATTCCAGAATGAGGCTGAAAGGGGAGCTGATGGCTCGGGGATCAGCCACGCGTGTGTAGTGAATAATTCAGGCTGCTGTGTGAGGCAGCTGCATGACAGGCGGGCCGTGCGAGAGGAGAAGTCTGGCAGTGTATGTCCTCAGGGCCTTCTCTTACCTCTCACCATGGGCAACCCAAACTTGTCCCTTTACCGCACCTGAAGAGAATTCTCGGGGCTTCTTGCACTCTGACAACTTTGTAAGTGTCCTTATGGGAAATAGAGGGCCTGTTTCCTTATACACAGGACCGGTCCCTAATGCCCTTTCCAGCACCACATTCCAAGAGCCCACTAGTCCCCCATTTCAGAGTTGGGAAGACTGAGGCATAAGAGGGTCTCCACGTCCACCCAGCAGGCGAGACAAGAGGGAGGCTCACATTAGAGCCTCGGGGCCACAGGAGCTGGAAACTCTGGGCATGGGGTGGACTTCCTGGTTCCGGAACAGACTGACATGGGGAGACAGGACTCCAGCTCCTGATCCAACCACTGAGGCTCTCAGCAGCGACTCTTTCTTTAGCCCTCACAGATGCCAAAAGCATGGCAGGTTGCACACGGTGATTCCTGGGTTCCCGGAGCCAAGCCTTGGGCCTCCCGGAAAGAGATAGACCTCCAGGCAGTCCAAACGCATCACTACAGGCCATGCTAGCCCCGCGCCCAGCCCCCCCCCCCTCCATACTCACAGGAGACCTGCCTCCACCGCAGGGCCAGCCTGGTCCTCTGCTCGGAGCCACTGCCGGGGGCCAGCATGGTGACGCGGCAGCTCTCGCAGCCCTGCACGGCTGGGACAGAGGATCCCTTGTAGGCACTTCCTGTCAGTCCTGAGAGAGAGAAAGAGGACGCGCTGAGCAGAGCAGGCACTTGAGGCCCAGGCCCATCCAGCCCAGGGGTTAGGGAGAGGGCCCGGTGTCTCTTTACACTGCGAGTCATTCCCTCTCCTGTTCCAGCTCTGATCCCTGGGTGGGGGAAGGAGAGGCCTGAGGGGCAGAGAAACCAGGAAAACGTCAACCTCCCGGGGTGATCAGGGGCGGTGTGGGGGGCTCAGGCGGCCCAGGGGCCCTCAGTCTGAGGTGCAGTGCTGAGCTCTGGGCTGTGGGGCTCAGGAGCTGCCCAGGTTCTCCCCAGTGTCCCCTCCCCCAGCCTCTTCTTGCCGCCTCTCTGGTGTGTTGGTCTCTAAAATGTTTTCAGAGCCATACGGCCTCCTCGGTCTGGGCCTTCCTGTGACACAAGTGTGGAAACTAAGGGACGTCTCTGCCGGGTGCGGAGGGAGGCCACAGGCAACACCGGTCACAGTCGCACTGCCACTCTTACCATGGCCCCGAGGAGGCAGAGAGCGGGCCCTCGCGCACCCCGCCGCTGCGTCAGGCATGCGGCCCAGGTCCCCCTCTTGCTGCTGGGGGGGGGCCCTGCTTCCCCTCCACCTTCGCCTGGGAGGTGAGTCGCAGTGTGTGTCTTCCTCGCCGGCTATAATAAGACTCAGCGGCTCAGGGGTTCGTGCTGCTGCAGCAGCTGCTCCAGCAGGAGACAGGGACACAGAGACAGGGGCACGGAGACAGGGACACGGAGGAGAGGGTGAGATTGCGAACCAGAAGGAGCGGGGAGCAGGCTTCCCTTCCAGAGAGGACAGAAGAGGGTACTCGCCCTTTCTAGGGTCTCAAGGGCCTGCCCTGCCCCCACCCAGTGACGCATAAAGCGGACACTGGCCCTCCTCTGGTCCCCACTTCCTTCCGGGTATGGCAAGGGCCCTGAGACAGAGCCTGGGCCTCCATGCCCCCAGCCCCATCAGGGTGGACACAGGACTGTGGTGGTTGCCACAACAGCGCGCAGAGTGAGGTGGGAATGGGGTGGAGGGAGACTGCTGACAGCCCCACCTCCTGCTGCTCCCAAAGGCACAGCCCTGTCACCTATTGCCCTGGGTGCTCCTAGAGTTCGATCTTTCTTGGTTGCCAAGTTCATCCCTGGGTGATAGCTGGTTGCAATCCTCCCCCCTACCCCCACCCCCACCCCCACAGGCCTAGTTAATTCTGGGAGCCCGAGAAGCCAGTGGCAGAGCTAAGCAGACAGCTGAGGAGGTGGAGCGAGCTGCGGAGAAGCTGGCATGTTCGGCTCTGAAATCTTGGGTGAAGCAGAGTTTCCCTCAGGCACCTAGGGTCCTGCTGCAGCTCTTGGTGTCTCGTCGAGCCTCTCCCCCACCCCCTGGTTACAGCTGCCTCCTGGAGAGTGGCAGAACCCCCTTAGAACACAGCGACCCCACGGGGCCTTCAGCTGTGCTCCCAGCAAGGGCAGCCCGCTCAGGGGGGGAGGGGCCCCGCCCGCTCTTGCCTTTGTCTTTCCTCCCCCCTCGGCCACATCAGGAGGACTCAGGGTGTGAAGGCCTCACAGGGGCTGGCAGATTGCATCTCAACAACTGGACAGTCCCAGGCTCCTGGGCTGAGGCGTGGGGTAGATGCTCAGGGCAGGGCCGGTGTTGTCCCCGGCAGGATCCTGGTTCGAATGCCCAGGCCAGGCAGGGCTCTGTTCAAACCCTTGCCAGGTCATTCCTTCGCTGCATAACCTTAAACCAACAGCAAAACTCTCTGGGCCTCAGTTATCTTAGCTCTAAAAGTGATGACAGTAGTACTCAATGGGTGGAATTTCCGTGAGGATCAATCTAATTAAGGGAGGAGAGTTAACAGTTACTCTATTTAACACAAAAATTACCTTAGAAGGTAATTCAGGTGAATGTTGAGCCCCTGACAGATGTGAAGAAGCCCCAGCAGCCGGCAGCAGGCCTATGAGACATCTCCTTCCTGAACCACCAACCTCACACGTGGCCCTGCTGCTCTACTCTGAGCACGTGCTGCATCCTGAGCCTGCGCCAGGCTGTGGCATCACGCGGTGCGCACTGCAGGGCGTGCTCACACACACACACACACACACACACACACACACACACGGCGTTCGCACCCCTCCACCACAGACAGCAGGGCCACCCTCTCTCTGCCCCTCAGGCCCCGACCCTCAGAACAATCTCTTACTCCAGCAAGATCCCTCATAGAAAAAGCTCACAGCACCCACACATATTAGGCAGGCCAACGGCCCCTCAAGGCAAGAAGACAATGACCAACTTGCCCAAGGTCACACATTAGGTCAGGAATGGAGTTCCAGCTTCTGAGCCTGGCTGCTCAATCCACTGCCTGGTGCCTGTCACCTGGCATGACCCCTGTGGGGAGACACTTAAGTGTGCTCAGAGAGGGGCGCACAGGCTCCCAGACACATGCTTGGAGCTCCCAGCACGTGGTACAAACACACACCCACAGAAAGCCGTGCAGTTAGGCATGTGCGCACACACACACACACACGTGTGCGCCCTGCCAGCAGCCCGTCTGCACTCCTCCTCATGCAGCATGTGGGCAGCGGAGTGAGATGCCTGGCGGCTCCTGAGATCCCCCAGCAGGCAGGTGTACAGGGACACCTCCGGCCTAGAAGTATGGTCTAAAGCAAGCCCTACACCACAATGTGTTCTCTGCTCAGACCAACACAGGGATGGGGACCCAATCCAACCTTCTGCCCCCACTCTCTCCGGCTTCCTGCAGGGCAGCAGGTGGTGGAGAACCCCCTCGCCCAAGCCCAGGCCCGATTTCCACCGGAGCCCCTCTCCTCCCTCTTTCTTTTGTTGTTGTTTCTTGGGGTTTTTTACGTTAATCCTCACCCAAGGATGTTTTTCCCATTGACTTTTAGAGAGAATGGAAGGGAGGGGGAGAGACAGAGAGAAACATCGATCTAGAGAGACACATTGATTGGTTGCCTCCCAGGAGGGGCTGGAGATTAAGCCTGCAACCGAGGTACATGCCCTTGACTGGAATTGAACACATAACCCTTCAGTCCATGGCTGACTCTCTAACCACTGAGTCAAACCAGCTAGGGCTCCTCTTTCAAGTAGACGCACTTTCCTGTAGACTCCCCATCTACCCATCCCTGGTCTGTGTCCTCCCAGAAAGGAGCCCAGCAAGCACCACTCGGTGGAGGTGGTGGCCTCGAGTGCAGGTCCTGCTGCCCCATCCCCAGAATGCTGTCCCCATAGGAAGCAAGGCAGGCAGGTCTCCACAATGCGGACCCACAGGCGGTGTGTTGCAAGGCGGCAGGGCACTGCTGACCCTCGTACTCTAGAGAAATGTGACGGGAATGTTCCCTGGGGAGCTGACCCTGCCTCCTTGGGCACCAGAGAAGTGACCCTTCAGGAAATATGGGCTTGAGCCCAGCACTTTCCAGCTCCTTGGCCCTCTGCCCGTCGGCACACCTCCAACCAAAGGACTCCTTCCTTCCTCCAAAAGTCTCCCCCGCCTCACTAGGAAGGGGGTGGCCTACATTAGGAAGCTGGGGGAGCAGCGGCTGCAGCAAGCACGGCCAGCTGCTGGGTAAATTAATGCCATCCAGGAGGGCAGTCCCCACCCGGGGTGGAGAATGAGGGTGGAAAGAGTCAGGGGGTCCTGCCAGAAAGATCTCCTGCCTCCAAGTCCCACCGCCTTGGAGCTCTGGGTGCTGGGCTTGCTCCCAGTCCTCATAGGACTTTCCGTCCCAGTCCCAAGACAAAGAAACCAGGGTCCTCCTTCACTGGGCTTTTCTGGGAGAACTTGGACTGAATGATAGGGTTCATGAGCTAAAAGCAGTCAAATGGGGAACTCCCTGAGAACACAGGCTGTGTGCTCCACCCCTTTGCTGCTCACAGTGTGGTCCATGGACCGGCAGCATGGGCTGACCTAGGAACTTCTTAGAAATGCAGAATCTCAGGCCCCACCCCAGGCCTGAATCAGCATTTTAATGTCTTGGCTGGTGTGGCTCGGTGGCTAGAGTGTTGGCCCATGCACCAAAGAGTAGAGGGTTCAATTCTCAGTCAAGGGCACTTACCTGGGTTGCAGGTTTGATCCCCTGCCCCAGTTGGGGGTGTGTGGGGGAAGCAACCAATCAATGTGTCTCACATCTCTCTCTCTCTCTCTCTCTCTCTCTCTCTCTCTCTCTCTCTCTCTCTCTCTCTCTCTCCATCCCTCCTACCCTCCCTCCCTTCCACTCTCTCTAAAGATCAATAAAAAAAATACCCTTGGGTGAGGATTTTTTAAAAATCAGAATCAGCGTTTTCACAAGATCCAGACAATTTGTATGCATATCTAAGTTTGAGAAGACTGGGCTCGATCACATCTCTCCCAGCCAATCCTGCACCTCCCAGGAGGTCATGCTGGTCCGTCTCTGGAAGCCAGTCACCAGGCAGGGAGTGGCAGGGACCTGGGCAGAGAGGTGAGGGTATTCACATTAGCACCTCCTTCCAGAAGCCTCTGGATGGGGAGAAGCTATCACCATAGCTGCAAACGCCTGTGTTCTTAGTCCTCATAACAACTCCCTGAGGTTAGTAGTACTATTAACACCATGTTCTAGAGGTGGAAACTGAGGCATGGGAAGTTAGGTAACTTCCCTCAGGTTAGGTAATGGAAGAATACAGCTTTGGGCCCGAGTGGTCGGTGGCAAAGCTCCTAACTCAGCTGCCTTTACAGGTCTAGGTCTGTTCTGCCCCTGATCTGCCCACACACCGAGGTTCCCCATGTAGGAAGGAAAGGGCAGGGCAGGGCAGGTGCAACCTTCCGCTTGTGCAGAATCTCACAGTAATGGCATCTCCTCATTTGCTCTCTCACTGGAGCTGAGACATGGGTTCTTACCCCTCCTACTGATGGAGACGCGAGCCCTGTGCCCTGCTGCACTGAGATGCCACCGGGCCTCCCCC